TATCAATTCAGGGACCAACCTAGACCCAAAATTTAGGGAGACTTCACTTGTCCCTCAGAGAAATGTATAAGGGAGAAGTTTTAAATTCTAGGGAGACTTCTTGACGCACGTGGCACACATTGATCATTATTAAACTTTTTAAAAACAAGAGGCCCAGGGGCCACATCGCTCACCTGAGCATTATGGCTAGGAAAAAGCAGAAATCAGGCGAAGTTTGGAGCTCAAAAGCGACTATTTCGCCTCAGTCGCCCCCTAGGTTAGTCCTTGCATTGAGGTACAAGTTTAACCCACTAGCCCAAGCCAGTATTAAAGAAGCTGTGTATCATATACTACCATACTAACACATGTATATAAAAAAAAATAAATATCTTAAATCCTTAATTATTTATCAATGTTCCATAAGAGATTTATCATCATGCTGACTTTAAGCTTTTTTATAACTTGTTCTGAAGGGGAAATACCTTCTTTAGATGCAAATTTATAACTAAAGTGAAGCATGCTTACATGTATATTGATCGAAGTGTAAGAAACAGATGAGTATGCTTTGTTATAATTTATTTTACATATATGTATGAAGTTTATAATATATTTTAAAGTCACTGGGATTGTAAGCGTCAATTCATTAAACATGTTTGTGCTTTACTGTAGTGCTTTTCATAGGCGCTTGTTTTATGAAGTATGCAAAGAGGTATAGCGCCCTTTCCCACTCTTGAACATTTTCCGAATCTCAGACACCTGACAACATGCAGACTTTGAACTGCAGACTTTACACTTAAGGGAACATGTCAAAAGAGTAATTTGAATGATACATTCGAGTATATTTTACTGAACTTGATAATCAAATTTTGTTCTTATTTGTACAAGTTATACATTTGTACATAAACACATGATGTGAGTGGAAGGGGGCAAGGGGGCTGCCCCCCACCTTTTTCTGAGAAATCAATACTTTTTTTGCTCTGTTTCCCGATAACTTTTTTTCCTTTATAAATTAGTAACAACAAACTCCCAACAACAAATAGAAAACAGGGATCTTCAAGAGCTAAGAAAATTTTATAAACTTGTACCTTTATATAGATACATGTAAGTTATGGAGGGCACATTATCTGTAAATAAAAGTGAATATTTAATTTTTTCTTTCTTTTTATGTATCAGTAGAAAACAAGATATTTAAAAACAGCTTATTGAGACAAAAGAGTTACATTTATCAATAACATATTAGAATACAAAAATATGAAAAAGATGTCAACCCAGATTTATCAAGAAAAAAAAATGGAAAAGGGGGGAGGAGGTCCATGCCCAACTGCTTGTGGCTTTGACAAGCTCTACCACTTAGCTTGCTACACTTCGCAACTGGTAGACATGGTAGAGCAAGTAATTAAATTAAAGACAGATTTATCAATCGACTAATATTTTTTTTCACACCTGAATACTAGTACTGGTAAACTTATATCTTTTCATGGAATATATCATATCAATTGCACCACCTTTTATTGAATCTGGATAATAATTAGATTTTATAGGTTTCTGGGCAGAATCTCAAGTAATATGTGATTAATAATATCTTTCAATTGGGTATTCTTTCATCCAGAATATGATTATTAGACAGCAAAAATTCTATAATAGGAAATGTATGTCATCTCTTGAAATAAAATTCCCAAAGGCTTATTTTCTCTTAGCTTTAGACTGTTCAAGGTAGCTCAGTCGGTAGAGTGCATGCTCCGCGATCGGGAGGTCGTGAGTTCGAATCTCAGCCACGACTGACGTAAGTCGATAAAAAATGATTAGCAACTGTTCCTTTGCCATGCACTTGGCACATTGAAGTGAAAGTTGCAGGTCCTTCGGACTCTTGGAAATGTGCCAACTCACCCGATTTCGTCGGGTTACACCCGATTTTTCGACCCTTAACCCGATTATTTTTTATGACATGGCGGGTCATGCTTTTCACCCGATATTTGTCGAACAACCCGAAAATCTCCTGATTTCCAGATTTGGTTCATAAATTAGGTTGCACTTTTAACTTCCAGTTACAACCCAAGCTTGGATATAGTACGTAAACAATGCCGATGGCTATGTTCAGTAGGCCGTGTACCAGTGAATTATGTGCAGGTGTAAACAATTACCTGAGAGTTGTTTTGAAAAATCAAAGTTTGAAGTCAATTTAAAATGGCTTCCGATAGAACGAGGTCATTATCAGGGCCAGCAGGAACAAATTGAACCAAGTAAAAGAGAAACGATATTTATGTACATATCAAGGAATCTTGGAAAACAACTTTCATTAGATAAAATAAAGTGTTTGAAGATAGTGTAGACATAACTGTAAATTTAATAGCACTTGTTAATTAAATTAATTCGAGGAAAAATAACTTCAAAATCAAAATTGGAATACTTTCAAATTTAGCACATTTAACTTTCCATGTACTTCAAATCAGCAATGCAGATTCTGAAAAGACTTTCCTTTAAAAAATAGGCACACTTAATTCAGGTCAATATACTGAATAATGAAACCTTAAATGCTCTTCTAACATGTAAATTTAATCAATATATATAAATTTTTTTGTCATTCTAAGTTAAAGCCACATTTTAATAAAATAATTCTCAATACACAAATGCTTATATATGCATATATATTTAATTTAATCATGGTAAATGTGTCATGAATGTCGTTATGCGTTATATGACCAGATTTTTTACTTTCCAAATCTGGTCATGACCAGATTTTTACATGTTGGAGGTTGGCAAGTATGGAGATGTGTCTTTTTCTGCGCAATTGCAATCAAAGTTCTAAAAGTTTTGGGGCTATAAACAACAGTTAATTTGTGACCTAACAGTTACTTCTTGAGTGAAATAACAAAGAAAACCAGTTTTGGTTAACATGAGCACAATGTGAAGTAATCATACTTATCCACACCTCATCGCACACAAGGTGGTACACAGTTACTCAAACAATGGAAATACATATTTTTCTTAAAAGTGTTAAACGCAGCAATGTTAAAGCTATCTCTGCTTTAGATTGCTTTTTAAATAATACCTAGAATGAATATTAGTAGAAATTTACTTGCCGTTTTTTGTCTTTTTAAAATAAAAAGCAAAATTGTGAAGTTTCCTTGAAATAGCTGAATAAAGCTACCTGACGTAGGTAAATAAAGCTACGGTTGGTAATTTTAGCCACGTAGCTAAATGTACTGATTGTGCTGGACCTGCTAACGGTCGCACCATCAAACATATTTCTACATGGGCATATGATTTGCAAAAAAAAAAAAAAAAAAAAAAGGAACAACCTTCCAACGCCTATCAGATCCCGGGGGTAAAGTATTGAATATAAATTCTTTTTTTTTTTAACAGGATTAACAGTTACCATTATAAAATAAAATCGACGACTCTGACACTGTCTGAAGTGGGCCAAAGTTTCACGTTACACTACACAGTCTAGACGAACTCCAAAAACAGCGTTTCCGGAAGTAAGAAATTGAGACTGAAAAAGACTCCGAAAATAGAGTCCGCGCATGCGCGCACACACAAAAAATGGCGATTTTTCGGCAAAAATGATGGGTCTACAAAAACTCTCCGTGCAAAGTTTTGGAAAGTATGGCAATTATGCCAGTACTCAGAAATGCTAAATAAAAGACTTCGGAAGAGATCGTATTTGTCAGATTTTTGATTTTATTTGCAAAAAAGGAGATATTTACTTCCAAAGTTGACGTTTGAAGTCAGATCAATTACAGAGAAAATGATATGTTTGAGAAGTAAATATGCATAATAAAAGACATATATATGCAAAATGGGACAATATATATTGTAACTGTTCAAAACTTGACTGAATTTTACACATAAATTAGCAGTCTGGTTTTTTATTTGTGTACGACAGCTGAATTGAACGCGTAAGTTCTTACCATTGTTATTTACCGATTTTTTTATCACAAACAAACAAATATTATTATGAAAACATTTTTAAAACTATTATCTATCAATATAGAACTTCAAAGACCACTCTTCTAGAAATTAAGGTCACAACACGTCTTCTAAAAATGAACCTGTGAATATCTCTGCTCCGTGGTGAAAAATACGCATTTTCTGATTAAAATAAATACAAGCTGGGTGTTTTCAAAAACAAATAAAAGCACCTTCATTGTAGAAACGACATAAAATTCAAATCAAGGAGGCAATAAATCAAATAAGAAAATAATTCTTACCGGCAGTATTGAATTCGATGTCGTACATCCAATTTACTCTTATGCAAGAGTTTGAAGCGATAAATAAGTCAATATCCACAAAATAATTTAATAAATGTAATTATCCATTCAACAAAAATTAAAATAGTCACATATGCACTAATCACAGCCATTATGCAGCCGTATATTTGGAGAAAGCGAACGACAATCCATCGTTTGTTTACATCGGACGCCATTTTGCCGCAATGCATGATGGAGCCAAAGACTTCTTTTTCGGAGTTCACGCTGTTTTTGGAGTTCGACTAGACTGCTACATGGTTTTAAATGTTACTTTTCTACTACGAACTTCATGTACTACTATATGCATTACTTCACGCATGATTTACGTGTCTAAAGCTAAGCAGGTTGTTGTAAGTCTAATCAATAATAAAAAATCTAACTACTTACCACATGACTGTCACCTCGGAGCCGCCATTACCCGCAATAAGTTGGTTTTCCGCTCCTTGTTAGCCTTTGAAAGTTTACGATGTTAGGGGGACCAGTTTAAACCCCGCTGCATTCCGAATGAACATTTCCCAGCATCCCCAGACATTCGTTTTACGGTGCAGTGAGAACACAGAATGTGGGTTAATTTTGCCGACTTATGGGGAATTTTTCGAAAATGAAAACAAATCGATTAAATTTTATCAGTAGACTACGTAGAATCCAAAAATACCCATGACCATATTTGTGGGGAACGAGAGATTTCCCCACAATTCTCAACTTTCCCCATAAGAAAGGTCCTGTGTCAGGTGTGAGTTCCCCACAAGTTGGTAAACGCGGGTGCTTTTTCTCTCTCTCTCAGATTTTAGCTGTCCTGAGATGGGTTAGAAGTGTTAAATTCAAGGTAAACAGATCCTGTATGGAAGTCCACGTCTGATTCAGTTTTCCTTTCACCTCTCTCAGAACTTCAACCAGTTCAGGATGACTGGATATTGTATCACCATGAATCTACAACAAAACAACAAATATATTTACTGTATGTTTATTCAAACATAACTTCACAGCTGTGGGGAAAATAAGTATTTGAGTATATAATTAACTACTAGTAAATATTCATTGTTAAATTGAAATGTAAAGGTACTAGTATTTAATTGACTGAGAATTCATCAAAAAGATAAAGTGTTAAGGTATCTAACTAGAAAACTACCAGTCAGCAAGGGCCCCACAGAGGGATAGAAATCTAAGAGTGCAACTTAAAAGATGAGAATTTGACTTAGGAAAAAATTAAAAAGGATTTTTGAAAAAATACGAAGAATATGTTTATAAAATTTGGACATACTTCCTAAATAACAAATGAGATTATCAAACCTTCAGAAATTAACAATATCCTTGTATTTAATAAGGGAGTAAAAAAAAAACATCATATCATATAATAATTCAATTAAATGTGTAATTTAAACCAGAATGAAGCATACATTTCATAAAATGCCAACCTTTGGTGAATGCAGACACCCAGACTTGACCTTAACTTCAAAAAAAGCATCACTTTCAAACAGAGTCTTAACTGTAATCTTAATGTGACAGATAAAGATAAGGTACTGGATTGTCTAAAGCAGGCAAAATAATTATTCTCAGAGGATTAATTGTACTGTTGTCTCATCCTTTAATTGTAAGTTTACAATCTCTTGTTCTAAATTACAATAAGAACATTTTCAGCAATGAAAGAACGAGTCAATTATGACTGTACTGTTACATTTATAGTTTCCCTGAATGGACACAAGGCAGCAATAATAAATGATATTTTTAACTCCATCTTTTAAAAAAACAAGATGTGTTTGTGAAACACTGATGCCCCCGTATGGCAGCTCATGGCAAAGGTTAAAGTTTCTCAAATGCAAGTCAAAATCCAGGCCAAAAGATAAAAAAATGTTGGTACCCAAAGAAAGGTCTTGTCTCTAGGAATATACCTGTGAAATTTGAAAGCCCTAGCTGCAACTGTTCAAAAGTTATGGCGAAGGTTAAAGTTTTTTAAAAGTAAGTAAAACGTCAAGGTCAAGGTAAAAGTTGTTGGTATCCAAAGGAAGGTCTTGTCACAAGGATTACATATGTGAGGTATGAAAGCCCTAGCACCAACCATTCAAAAGTTATGGCGAAGGTTAAAGTTTTTCGAAAGTAGGTCAAACTCCTATGTCAAGGTCAAAGGGTCAAAGTGGTTGGTATCCAAAGGAAGGTCTTGTCACAAGGATTACATATATGAGGTATGAAAGCCCTAGCACCAACCATTCAAAAGTTATGGCGAAGGTTAAAGTTTTTTGAAAGTAGGTCAAACTCCTAGGTCAAGGTCAAAAGGTCAAAGTGGTTGGTATCCAAAGGAAGGTCTTGTCACAAGGATTACATATGTGAAGTATGAAAGCCCTAGCTCCAACCGTTCAAAAGTTATGGCCAAGGTTAAAGTTTTTCAAAAGTAGGTCAAACTCCTAGGTCAAGGTCAAAGGGTCAAGAGGTTGATATCCAGAGGAAGGTCTTGTCACAAGGAATACACAAGTGAAGTTTGAAACCCCAAGTACCAACTGTTCAAAAGTTATGGCCAAGGTTAAAGTTTTTCAAAAGTAGGTCAAACTCCAAGGTCAAAAGGTCAAAGTTGTTGGTATCCAAAGGAAGGCCTTGCCACAAAGAATACACATGTGAAGTTTGAAACCCCAAGCACCAACTGTTCAGAAGTTATGGCCAAGGTTAAAGTCTCATAAAATTTTGCAAAAGTGGGTCAAACTCCAAGGTCAAGGTCAAAAGGTCAAATATGATGGTACTCAAAGAAAGGTCTTGTCACAAGGAATACACATGTGAAATATGAAAGTCATAGCTCCAACCAATCAAAAGTTATGGGCAAGGTTAAAGTTGACTACAGACAAACAGATAAACAGACAGACAGACAGGACAAAAACAATATACCCCCGGGATCTTTCAATCCGGGGGCATTAAAAATTGATTCCCCATGAAATTTATATTTCAATAAAATGAGTATTCAGTATAAAAGTGAAATATCAAGGTATATAATTAACTGAATATTCAATATAAAAGTGAAATATTAAGGTATCTAAATAGTTGAATATTTAATATAAATGTAAACATTAAATTATCTTATTTATAAACTGAATATTAATTATAAAAGTGAAACATTAAGATATATAACTGAATATTCATTATTTAAGTGAAATGATAAAATATATACATTGTAATTAACCAGATATTCATTATAAAAGGAAAGTGTGAAGATATCTAATAAACTATACATTCACTATAAAAGAGAAAATCAAAATAAAAAGGAGCTTCAGGAGGAACAATTGTGGTCCCCCGCTCTCGGTGTCTTAGTGGTTGGGATGCAATTATTCATAACATATTGTAACTGTTTATGTTTTTGTTGTTCTTCTTTTCTGTGTGTACTGTCTTGTCTGTCTATCATCATGATCATACAAAAAAGAATTAAATTTTTGAATTAATCAAAGTTTCTTAAACTGCATCCTAAAATTCAAGGTCATGAGGTCAAATATCATAATACAATCAGAAAAAATCTTGACACAGGTAATGCACTTGTGAAAAAATATAAAAGCCCTGTTTCTTCTGAAGCAAAAGTTATGGCCAAAGTTAAAATTTTTGATAAGTAAGTCAAACTTCTAGGTCGTCAAGGTCATGAATTCAAAAATAATTGTTCTTTCTGAAAGGTGTTTTCACAGAAAGCATACATGTAAAATAAGGAAGCCCTTTTTTCTCTCATTCAAAAGTTATTACCAATGTTAAAAATTTTGAAAAGTACTGTTGGTTAAACTTAAAAGATAAGATCATGAGATTAGAAACCATAATACATTTGGAAATGTCTTGTGACAAGTAATGCATGTGTCAAAATAAATGCCCTATCTCTTCTCATTCAAAAGTTATCACCAATGTTAAAATTTTTGAAAAGTTGGTTAAATTCCAAGGTCACAGGGTCAAATATCATAGTATATTTGGAAAGATTTTGTCACAGGTAATTTACATGTGAAATATGGAAGCCTCATCTTTTTCTCATTCAATAGTTATGACGAAGTTTTTTGTGAACAGACTGACAAATTGACAGCCAAATGAGATTTAACGTCCTTTCACTTTCAAAAAAGTGGGAGACAATAACCCTCTGCTAAGAGAGATATAGTAGATAAAGCAATATGTTTCTTTTATTATATTTTCATATTCAATTTTGCTGAGTCTCAAATTTTGCTGATTATGGTGAACTATGCTTTAATTTCTATGACTGAAATATTGCTGACAATTAATCAGTCAATCTTCTGTCAGAAAATTCCACCTCAGTAGACAGAAGTTCATCTCTGATAATCCAGTACAAAAACTTACCTTTAGAAAAAGTCCCAGATAAGCATTGGCCACTTCAAAGTCTTTCTTGGTGTCCAGAACATGACTAATCAAGTGAAGGAACTGGCACATAGTGGTCACAGATCCCCCTGCATCCGGTCCTAAACATCGAATCTCGTTATCAACAGCAGAGGGACCAAGTTCTTTCAGATATCCCAAAGCACTCTGATCTGTAAAACCAGATCAATCAACATTATTCTACAAATTGATCACAAATAATTTATAATGAAAATAAGAAAATCAGAGAGTGAGCTGTTTAAGTTCCATTATTTATTTTGTAAGATACGAAAAGGAAAAATACACAACACAGCATATATACACAAGAGGCCCAAGGGCCTTAACAGTCACCTGAGTATAATACGACCCTGTAAATAAAGTGAAATTCAAAATCTAGAGAAAAATTATGAATAGGATGGAAAACAAGAGGCCCATGGGCCACATCGCTCACCTGAGCACATTGGCTAGGAAAAAAAGCAAAAATCAGTACAGTATTGAAAAGTTTACAGGGAGGGGGGTGTTGAATTTTAAACTACCTGATGATGCTTTCATATCATATAACAAATGGCTTTGTTGTTCTTGAGCAGCAGATTTTTTTCCCATATATTCATTTGTAAAAATTTGATCCCCCATTGTGGCCCCACCCTACCCCCGGGGGCCCTCATTTGAACAAATTTCATTCTACACTACCCAAAGATGTCTCCATATCAATTTGACTAATCATGGCTTTTCTGTTCTTGAGAAAAAGACTTTTTCCTATATATTCCTCTGTAAACTTTGATCACCCATTGTGGCCCCACCCTATCCCCAGGGTAATGATTTGAACAAACTTGAATCTTCACTACCTGAGGATGCTTCCATATAAATATGACCAATCATGGCTTTACTGTTCTTAAGAAGAAGATTTTTAACGATATTTTCCTATATATTTCTATGTAAAACTTTGATCCCCAATTGTGGCCCCACCCTACCCCCGGGGGTTATGATTTGAGCAAATTTGAATCTTCACTACCTGAGGATGCTTCCATATAAATATGACCAATCATGGCTTTACTGTTTTTAAAAAGAAGATTTTTAACGATATTTTCCTATATATTTCTATGTAAAACTTTGATCCTTCATTGTGGCCCCACCCTACCCCCGGGGGTTATGATTTGAGCAAATTTGAATCTTCACTACCTGAGGATGCTTCCATATAAATATGACCAATCATGGCTTTACTGTTTTTAAGAAGAAGATTTTTAGAGATATTTTCCTATATATTTCTATGTAAAACTTTGATCCTTCATTGTGGCCCCACCCTACCCCCGGGGGTTATGATTTGAGCAAATTTGAATCTTCACTACCTGAGGATGCTTCCATATAAATATGACCAATCATGGCTTTACTGTTTTTAAGAAGAAGATTTTTAGAGATATTTTCCTATATATTTCTATGTAAAACTTGGATCCCCCATTGTGGCCCCACCCTATCCCCGGGGGTCATGATTTGAACAAACTTGAATCTACACTACCTGAGGATGCTTCCATATAAATATGACCAATCTTGGCTTTACTGTTCTTAAGAAGAAGATTTTTAAAGATATTTTCCTATATATTTCTATGTAAAACTTGGATCCCCCATTGTGGCCCCACCCTACCCCTGGGGGTCATGATTTGAACAAATTTGAATCTACACTACCTGAGGATGTTTCCACATAAGTTTCATCTTTCCTGGCCCAGTGGTTCTTGAGAAGAAGATTTTTAAATGATGCCATTATTTTTTCACTAATTCCTAATTATCTCCCCTTGAAAGAGGGTGTGGCCCTTCATTTGAACAAACTTGAATCCCCTTTACCCAAGGATGCTTTGTGGCAAGTTTGGTTGAATTTGGCCCAGTGGTTCTTGAGAAGAAGTTGAAAATGTGAAAAGTTTACAGACAGACAGACGGACAGACAGACGGACAGATGGACGCCGGACAAAATGTGATCAGAAAAGCTCACTTGAGCTTTCAGCTCAGGTGAGCTAAAAATAGTTAATCTGGTAATCAGCAACAACTCTGAAACTTGCCTGTATATGCCAGTGCTATCTCTTAATTTTTCATTGAAAATGATAGTTTAAAATATGATTTTCTTCTTGTCTACTAACAAATTACGCCCTGAAACACCTTATTTGACCAAGCTATAGTTGTAAAACATCATTAAAGGAATTTATTTTTCAAAATTGAGAAATCTTTAGGCTCCTCTCATTTACGAAATCTTTACCTTAAGTTTAATACATCTAGGCTACTAATTAGCAGAAATTTTAACATCTGCAGCCCAGCATTGATACAAGTAAATTCATTAGCCCTAGGTAAAAAATTTTGTGTCTCATTCTCACACAGGGTTAATTTTAAAGATTACACTGATTTTGATGGTTATAGTCCAACCTCTCAGGCTCAGGGGAGGGGGGTTGGCAGGAACCATATAATTTTTGTTCCCCTTCAGCTATAGAAACTGAAAATGTTCAAATGTTAATGCACAACATAACAACAGACGAAAACAGAGAGCAATAATTCACTTGAGTAACTCAGGTAACCTACAAATTGGAAAAGGAACTAAATACAAAGGTACTTTACTCAGAACTATTGGAACATTAACTGGAGATTTTTGTGTCATCAAAAATACACAATATCAGGGAATAACTTTCACATCTGATAGCAACAGCCTGTATTTATGATAGATAATAACACATACTCTCCTTTCCTTCATCTAGTCTACGTCCAAGTTCACCAAGAGAAATAAACCGAGAAAGATCAGGACCCGATTTCTTCTGAAACAAAAAAAAAGTACTATCAAGGCCTCTTAAAGCTACAGTTAAGCTTCAGTATATGGAACATTGATATCTCAAATACCATAGGTATGTCAAAGTGAGTTGGCATTCTCAACTATTCTTTCTCTATGTATTTTAACTTTGATATCTTGAATCCTTGGATATCTCAAAGTTTTTTTCAGTCGAGTTCAAGATAATGAGGTTTGACTGTAGTAATATTGTGAGAAAATGGATTCATTTCAGAAAAAAAAAATATATCTTATCTTGCCTTTGCTATTCTTGAGAAGATTTTTAAAGACTTTTCCCCTATATAATTCTATGTGAAATTTTGATGACCTATTATGGCCCCACTCTACCCAGGGGGTCATGGTTTGAACAAACTTGATTCTACATCACCTGAGGATGTTTTCATATCAATATGATTAATCATGCCTTTGCTATTCTTGAGAAGAAGATTTTTAAAGGCTGTTTCCTTTATATTCTTCATATGTAAAATGTTGGTCGTCCAATGTGGCCCCACCCTACCCCCGGAGTCAAGATTTGATAAAATTTGAATCTACGCTATGTAATGAAGCCTTCACATAAGTTTCAATTCTTCTGACTTGTTGTTCATGAGAAGAACATTTTTAAAAGATTTTTCTTATCTATTCCTCTGTAAAATTTTCATCAACCATTGTGGCCTCACCCTACCCCCTGGGGGTCATGGTTTGAACAAACTTACATCTACACTATGTAATGAAGCTTTCAAGTAAGTTTAATCTTTTCTGGCCTAGTGGTTCTTGAGAAGATTTTTGAAAGATGCCATAAAATTTTCACTAATTCTTAATTGTCTCCCCTTGAAAGAGGGCAAGGAGAAAAAGAAAATGTGAAAAGTTTAGAATTTTGATGTCCTGTGTTTCTGTATGCCATTGCTACTTAATGTCCCATGTTTTTTTGTATTTCATTGTTGCTTTATGTCAAATGTTCCTACATGTCATTGTTACTGTATGTCTTGTGTTTCTATATTTCAAAATTTCACACTGACACTTATAAAAATAGAAATCAGCAATACAGTGTTTGTGAATTGTTCAATCTGTGTTAGGTACATGTGTACTGACCTTGTCTGTTTCCTCGGTGTTTTCAGGGACGGCAAACTTGGGTTGTAAGCCAGGAATTGTGGGTAAAAAGAAAGGCGCTGCCTTGGGAACTTTAGGGGGTTCTTTTGGTTTATTTCTCATCTGTGAATGAAATCGTATCAAACTAATTAACCAAACCAATTACCTCACAAGAAGATAATAAATTCACTAAACATTTCAAGTTAATCAATCATTCATTAACTACAGTTAAGATGAAGAACAGAGAAATGAGAATACTGTAAATCACTTTTTATTTGTGAGAACGTTATTTTCTCCTAATTATGTGAGACAGTTTGCTCACCAAAATTTCATATTCGTGTATATTTTCATTTGTATAGAGTGTTAGTATTACAACAGTAACCAGAATTTGTGATGATTTTGTCTCACTAATAAATACCAAATATGTATCTTGGGAAAATAAGATGTTGCAAAAATTTGGTGATATACAGTATTGCACTAATCCTGACCTTAATGACATCCAGATTGAGGAGGTTGTGCCAGCGGGAGTTAGGGAGAAGAGACAAGGTCACTAACTCGGAGGATAATTGTTCTGGGGAAGCGTAATCATCTACATCATCCAGCACCGTGTCATCTTCAGCTGTAATTGTACACAGAACAAGTCATTCCTAGAACCATTTGTATCAATATGTACATGTAAATCTTCCTGAGTTATTGTTTAATGGACAATGAATGACAGTATTAACATAAGTATGAAAAGGATTTGTTGACAATGCCTAAGGAAGAGTTACAGGTACATATTTATATTGCTGGATCTAGGAATGTCTAGGATTTATTAAACAATACCTAGGGAAGATTTAGAGGTACATATTTACACTGTTGAATCTAGGAATGTCTAGGATTTATTAAACAATGCTTAAAGCAATATGAGCTGCATTTTTGAGTATTTTATTTTGCTGTCAAAACGTGCTGTTATGATAAATCTGTATGTAATTTAAATATTTATGATCAATTAGACAATAACAAAGTAATAATTTTTTTCAGAAGAAAGAGTTCTGTACAATGAAATATATAGTATTATATTAGAAATCAATATTGTACAGGATGACAATAATGTAATTTTGCTTCAATCAAAACTTATAAATAGTTCTTTCATCTCAAATATAAAGAACAGAAGTTTATAAACGTTCTTTTTTCTGTAATAGAAATAGTTAATTACAATATTGCAGCAAAAATTCCCGACATCAAAGTTGCAGCTAATATTGCTTTAAGGAAGATTTACAGGTACATATTTATATTGCTGGATCTAGGAATGTCTAGGATTTGTATTTTTTTTAAACAAGTACACTATTCATATCTGATTCATGAAACAAACTAGGGCTAAAATGAAAACTAATAAGGGAAAAAATATTGATGGGATAAAGATCTCATAATTCATTATATAGTATAAAAATAACTCATTATATAATATAGTATTATATAGTAGTTAAAAAGAATAAAGTGTATATCATCATTCTCAACATTCAACGCAACTTTAAATTAATACCACTTCAACAACTCTTAATTGCCCAAAATAAGAATAAAAACATGTCCTTCACCATTTTGGTTGTCATCTCCTCCAGTGAATCGTGTGTCAGGCATTTCCACTTCCTGTGGTTGGTAATCGTCTGGGAGTGGGGCCAGGGATACGTGAGAGAGGAGGGTCTTGTTGTACCAAGTATACACCCCTACACTGTCCACATGACTGGTCACTAGGAAATCTGCAGTCGGAGACATCGACAGAGAGGTCACGGCCATCTCCACTGAAAAGCAGTCTACCAACCTAAAGTGAAAGTCGAACACACAGATGATACAACTGCTGCGAAAAGAATAATTTTCACATATGTTATACAAGCATGCAACTTGCAAAAAAAACCTGGGATATATCGAAGTGATTTGGCAGTTCCAACAACATTTTCTTTACGTTTTTTACCCCTGTTAACTTGAATCCTTGGATATCTCAAAGTATAATCTCGGTCCCTTTGAGTTCGAGATAACAAACTTTGACTGTATATGCTTTTTTCCTTTCAAAAATTTTTCCACAAAACACTTGTCTATAAAACAAATTTGTTACACTTTCAACCATATCTAGTTGTAAATTTACATCAAAAATTGAACACAGAGTTTCATATGCAGCAGCTTGGTGGACAATTTACTCACCTTCCAGAGGGCAAGTCCCATGATCTGACTGTACAATCCATGGCGGATGAGATCAACCAGCGAGCATCAGGACTAAAGGACATCCCCGTCACCTTGTTACTGTGACTCTGAAACTTCCTGACCATTCTGCGAGTATCTAAATCTACCACAAAGATCTGGAAATTGTCCAATGCTACAGCCAGCATCGAGCTAGAGGAAAAAATTTAAAATTATGTTTAAGATGAATCAAGGAAAGTGACAGACCTTAAAGAAATGAACTGCTGAAAAACTGTAATATACATTGTAGAATGTCAATGTTAGAATTCTATGAAGAGCAAAAACTATGACCAGTTTCACCAATATACTGTAATCATACTTTTTTCCAGGCTGTCATAATTCTGCGATATCACAATTCCTGTTCAATCCTCAAATTAAAAAATATGCAGACTTCTTAGATTACCAATGTATGTCTTAAATGCACTTTAAGTACCCGTGACAAATTTCCATGACAAATTTGTGTCCACATACAAAATGTAAATTTATTCAACACAGAAAAATGTACATTTACAGTACCTTGATCCTTTTCCTTTAATACTTTGCTCCATTTTTTCACTATCTCATAGTTGTGGTGTACAAAAGTTCTGTAGCTTAAAGGACCAAGGTTTTCTAAACCACAGATAAATCCTTCCTAATTTTTTTTATACACCATGTTTTCCTCACACCTTGGCTACATGTGTGTACATTATTTCATATGCTCTATTAACTAGATTTCTAACACTGACAAAGGAAAAAAAAATTGTAAATCATAGTATAATTTAAGCACATTATTTCCTTCCATTGTACGTGTAACATCTTCCATGACATAAATGTATACCACATGTATGAATTATTTTACCTTTCCCTATGCAGTACAATCCCTGAAATGTAGTTTTCTGTCTGTAAAGTGTCAATTTTCTGGTGCTTCTTAAAGCCCCAGAACCGGATTTCCCCGTCCAGCCCTGCAGTCACCAAGATTTGGTTCATTCCATCTACTGCAACCCCCATCACACCACAGGTATGGGCTATAACAGGTAACAATAAAACCAATGGTAACTGCAGCTTATTGAATGATTATTAAAAACTTATAAGAAACAACAGTCTTTAAGCTCGGTGCACTTTCTGGATTTCCGAGTTCCATTTTTATTGAGGAAGCAGTTGTCCATGATACCAAAAATGCCTAGTCTTTAATTTCTGGTGAGGAATTGTTGTAAAAAGGCGTACGTTTTGGTGTTCATGACTCTTGAAAAATTTGGTGATTTTTAAATTTTCTAAAAGGAGGTTAAGAGAATCCACATTTGATTTACACCACTTCTAGAATATGCTTTAGCACAGTACATCTGAAGTTTGTCCTTTACAGCAGCTAATATTTTTGTAAGGAGTAAAGATAAGGGCTTGGTAGAGCATTTGCTGGACAATGTATCTTTCATTGTTTGTTAAGAGTTTTATGATCTTATGTTGTATTATTTTTTATCCAAATAGATGAACATATAATATTTCAATACAGAAATGCGTAGTAGTAATTCTTTATCCTTAAGAGAGAAAAATAATGACCTTGACCCGATCTTGCTACTATGATAAGATATAATATAATTTAATTGATATCATCATTTAGTAATATTGTCTTTTTGAATCCGAGAAAATTTTTGAATACAATAAATATAAGAAGAATCCATACTTAACTGAAAAGGTCTGATAAACATATCCATCAATATTTGACTAAGCATACATGTAGCTACTAAATTACAAATAAGGTCATGATGACCTTCTATATATAAAACACCTTCACACCCCAAGATGCATCAACTGGCAAGGTGTGATGTTTTTTGGCCTCATAATGTTTAAAATAGGAAAATAAAATACACCAACGTTATCAACTTTAGAAAGCATCAGCTGGCAGGTTGACATATCCATAAGCCGAACAGTGTTCAAGATATGTTTCTATAACAAATTGAAAATAGTTTTACAAATTACAAAAATTAACCTTGATGACCTATTTCCCCCCCTGCTTTATTAGAATGCCCACCTACAAATAAATTGCAATGTATATTTACCCTAGTCCACAAGAAAAAAAAGTTATCCCCGCCTTGCAGGAGATAAAGAGTCAGCATACCTTGTACTGGTCCCTTCTTATATATCTCTGTTTTAATTTCTTCTTCCTATCACAGAAAATGTAATTATAAGTTGAGTTCCTTTGGGTGTGAGTATAAAATGTGGAAAGAAGTAAAGAAATATATATTTGCTGCAACAAGGATGCATATAAAGTTTGATGGCTGTCAAACACCGGGTCCTTAAAATGCATGTTGGGAAATATTTGATATGGGTATACCCCATAATGATGCAAAAAGTGATCTTTGACCTCAGATGGCCAAGCATACAATCTCGACACTGTGTAGATACAGGTATATATGCAGGAAATTCATACTCACACTTTTCCCAACTCTGTACGGTGGTGTGACGTATAGGACAATTTTGGATGTGGAAGAGTTGGAATTCGGACATGTGTCCAAGTTGTCCAGACATTTGTTGGCAGAAGTGTTCGATTGAGTGACGTTATAAGGATAACATTCCTCAGTCATGATTCTAAAAAAAAGTTTGGCTGAAATAGAAAATACATCGAAAATATTATTGCAAGGAGAAGCAGGTTAGAGAAGTACCCTTTTCGTTTAATGAACCACCAAGCCTTTTCTGCAGACCCTCCTTCGCATCCTCTCTGTTTCCGCCTTGTGTCACATGACAGAAGATGCTGAGGCGAAAGCTGATTGGTCAGTAATCCTTTGGATTCAATCGCCAATCTGTCTGCCGCAACGTCTGAGAAGATAAATGCAAATTTCGCAAAACATAATTTTTCACAGAAAGATTGTAACACGACAGATGGCGCTCTGTGTAAAATTTACCTACTGTGGAGAACGCCCAGGAAGATGCGCAGTTTCTTTGATCACGAACCGGATGTATCCATGACTTCCACTTTTTCCTAGAGTCAAAGAAGGCCGGGAGATCATTCTGTACTTTATTCTGAAGCGAAGACATGTTTTGAGCTTTGCTTTCGGTTGCTATGCCAACATTTTCTTTGATTCCATCAATGAACGTTTTATTCCAGAAACGAGTGTAGTTTGCAGTTTTCCATCTGCAGTGAGCATTTATAATGCATGAAATGTAAACTTTGCAGTTTATAAAATCTCAAACATATACAGAGAACCACAGAAGTAAACAAAAGTTAATTTAACATGAAAACGTACACCTTTGAAAAAAACTGTTAAAGCTTTGTTTTGTCTTGTTAAGAGTTTCTCTCTCTCTCTCTCTCTCTCTCTCTTACCCTAAGTTTTGTGCTGTTTTGTTAAATCGTTCCAAGTCGATCAGACAGGAATTGTTTGAACACACCCAGTCGTAGCGAAATAACTGTACCCGTGAACACGTGCTAGAAGAAGAAAGAAAGACAGAAATACACTAATTGTAAGAAAACAACCTCTTCCATGTTTAGTGTATACTTCTTCTTTTTTTTTTTTTATAGATTTTGTCAGTTGGTTTTTCCAAATCCAGGAGTTAAAAGAAATTATCTGACACATTTAAAATCATATTCCTTGTATTAACATTTTGTTAATGAATTTGAAGAAAAAAATGATTCCCACATTCTATCTTTTAGAGTTCATATAAAAAAAATAAATAAGAACAACTAATGTCTTGGTTTTATTAAGTTATAACATCGAATTTCATCGAATAGTGATGATAGACAAAACATAAGCTAATGTTAATAGACATAGTTTTTCATTACAAAATCTCTGTCTCTCAGAAAGTGAATTTCATGAAGGATCGAGCACTTTGAAATAGATATCAAAATGCTTTTAGAATTGTGATAGTTTGCAATTGAGAATTGACGCTTGAAACAAAATTTGCATAAATTTTGATTTACAGAGAGACCACTAAATTGATTTTTTTTTTTCAAAGTTAGTCACTTTTGGTGAATTCTCATGGAAATTTTTGGATAGTTTTTATTTTGGGAAACAAAGAGTGCAATTAAATCTTTCTATGATTAGATGCATAATACTTGCTATACAATGTGTAATTTGAAGTGTGTAAATAGTGTGCAAACCTATTTAAATGCCAAAGTATACTGTACTTTAAATTTCATTTAAGAAATCAATTAAATGAAGAAATTCAAAGGAAGACAACCATATATATTATTTAGGATGGGCATGATGTAACCACAATGAATGTTAATGATGTGATCCACAAAAATGTCGAAAATCTTTTCTTAGATCAAAACCAAGCATTGGCAAACAGCATTTAAAGTAAGATTTAATGGTATTAATGAAATTTTTGCTTGTCAGCTTGCTTGTGAAATATTTCTATACATATTTATGTCGAGATTAATGAAAATTTTCACCCAAGAAAGATGGAACATTCTTCAACGAGATTTTTGACTTAAATCTCATTGTCAAAAATCACAAAATTATTACAATATACTTATTATATACACTCATATCATGAATAAATGATATCCATCATTTTGTTTCCAAAACAACACGCAAATAAAGTTTTGGGGTTTTAATATTTCCCTGTTTTTGTTTCATTCCATACATTCCTAAATAATTGTTTTGTTTACATATCTTTATGTTTTACTATTAATCATTTCGCAGCCAAAACAAAATATTTATGTATCAGTGCTGATTTTCGAATATGTTAATGACGTGTTAAAAGATAAATCCCCCATCTCGGTAGGGACAGTTATTATAAATTCCATAAACAGCTGATTGGCATCAAGCACTGCCATCTCTCTCCTCGGCTCCTTTTACTATAACAATACAGATTTATCACAACACGAATATTCTTTGAAGAAAACTATTTATCACAGTAACGGGAACCATAGATTGTATCTCCCCGTCTGTCTGTACAACAGACTGGACTTTTTATGATTGAACATCTGGCTTCCCATTCCGCCCTTGTCTATTTCTTCTATTAACTAGGGTCACTCCAGTACTTGTATATCCTGTAGTGCGAAATTGGTCAACCTTTCTGCAAACTGGCCTAGACTTTTACGCAGATAACTGTAATGCTTAGAGATTTTCTCATTTTCTTCAGCACAGTGAATGAAATTTTAAGTTTAGAAGTAAACATTCAGTGCAAAGGTGGAGCTGTAGGTTCTCGTAGTAACTGTCTCAGAGCGTAGAAATATTTTAAGTAATAATTTGGTGATTTATTTTAATTAAGACAGTTCGCATTTACACGATAACATATTTTAGTGCACCTAACAGTCGCTGATGATTATTGAACATTTTAGTGTTGATTGATAAAAATTTTAATGTTTACCCATCTCACGAAGTTCATTGTAAAACATTTACACATCTCACGATGTTCATTTTAAAACATTTTAGTGTTACCCGACAGATGATGTTCATTGTTAAACAGATGATATTCATTGTTAAATATTTTAGTGTTACCGACAGATGATGTTCATTGTTAAACAGATGATGTTCATTGTTAAACATTTTAGTGTTACCGACAGATGATGTTCATTGTTAAACATTTTAGTGTTACCCAACAGATATTGGTCATCTAAAACATAAACGAGACAGACCATGTTCATTGTTGATTTGTTGAACATTTTAGTCTTACCCGACAGTCGATATTCATTGTTGAACATTTTATTCTTACCCCACAGTCGATGGTCATTGTTGAATATGTAAGTGGTACCCAATAGGTGATGTTCATTGATGAACATTTTTAGTGTTACCCGACGGACGATGTTCATTATAGATAATTTTAGTTTTTCTAAACAGACGTGTTACCCGATAAGCGATGTTCATTGTTGAACATTTTAGTTTATCTAGACGGACGATGTTCATTGTTGAATATTTTAGTTTTTCTAGACAGACAACGTTCATTGTGAACATTTTAGTTTTTTCTAGACAGACGATGTTCATTGTTGAATATTTTAGTTTTTCTAGACAGACAAAGTTCATTGTGAACATTTTAATTTTTCTAGACAGACGATCTTCATTGTTGAACATTTTAGTTTTTCTAGACTGACGTGTTTCCCGATAAGCGATGTTCATTGTTGAACATATAGTTTTTCAAGACAGACGGTGGTCATTGTTGAATATGTAAGTGGTACCCAATAGGTGATGTTCAATGGTGAACATATATGTGTTATCCGATAAGTGATGTTAATGTTGAACATTAATCAATGTACCTCACAGATCTTGTCTTCAAGTATCAAATTATTCAAAAATACCCTTTTCACCTAGAAATAAATATAACATTTCAAATCATTAGTCCCCTACCGGTGAAACCGGAGGGGACTATAGGTTTTCTCTGAGTCTGTCCGTCCGTCTGTCTGTCCGTCTGTCTGTCCCTCTGTCTGTCTGTCAGTCTGTCCCACTTGGTTTTCCGCACTTTTTTCTTAAACGCTTGCAGATATTGAGCTGATTTTTGGTATGTGAGTGTATCTTGATGAGTTACAGATCAAGTTTGCATTTCGTTCCGCTTCATTGATTTTTGACGGAATTACGGCCTTTTCAATTTTTAAGGGTTTCCCGCAATTTTCTTCTAAACGCTTGTAGATGTTGAGCTGATTTTTGGTATGTGGCTTTACCTTGATTAGTTATAGATCAAGTTTGCATTTCGTCCCGCTTCATTAATTTTTGATGGAATTATGGCATTTTCAATTCTTAACGGGAATACTCTCAGAATGCTTGTTTTTATAGTTGCGCAAAATACTGAATTTAACTTGTGATTAATTTTCTGTACAAGTGCTGTAATACTTAAGGATTAAATTTGGTTGTAGTAAACAAATTTCAAATAATAATAATTTGATTAACTTTCATGTACCAACACAATATTCGGTATGGCACCAGGTTATCAGAATTGGGAGTAAATTGTGAGAAGACTGCCTAAATCTCTTTCGACAGCTTTCAAATAATGGTAGAATTGTTTACAAATTTACACAAAAATACAGGTCGGAGAAACATATGCTAAGACATATCCAGCTGTTGGAAGTATGACCAGCTATACACAGATGGGTCTGATTTAATTACTGTGCAACAGGCAACATTGGAGAACTGTTTGATATTTTCATAAATTCAAACAGACACGGATGGGTACTGAAAAAAAAATCGAGTGTACCGCATATTGACAAGACATCGTTGTGCTGATACATACATTAACAAAATTCAAGAAAATCTCAGAAATAGGGGAAAATACGCAACAATAAGATGCAACATTGAGCATTAGGAAAGAGCGATTCTAATATTCATAAATACATTTATTAAGAAATCAGTGAATAATACCTAATAATAAAGCAATGGTTTCATTCGAATGGTCCGTTAAGTTTCGCAATTGGTCATTTAACGTCCTCTAAAAATTAAACACTATGAATTGTAGTTTTCCATGCGACCTGTGCGTGAATCTAGATAGGTTTCACAATTATTGATAATTTTCTTTAAATTGTTTTCAATACATCAGTTTCAAATATGAAAAAAATAGATATAAAATCATTGCAATTCTGTCTTTTGAGTATCTTCTTATATCCTACCAAACATTGCAGTTATCCCTGATGACTTCGCTGGGTTTGTACTCCTTACCATTAAATACACATCCCGCTGAAACATTAAAAATTAAACTATTCAAGTTTAGTAGAAATTGCATACATTCACTTTTTTAGGTCAATACGTCATGATTTAGCTACCTGAACCATTCACCGAGCCCGGAGGGCGGGGTGAATATTGTAGTTCGAGGGTTGCTAAATCGCCGTGTTGACTGAAAAACAGCAATAATATACTAGTAATGCCCATCTTTCTTGTTTGTGTAGTGGGAGAAGGTTGGTTAAAATAAGCATAACCAGCTAAATTAATGTGGAATTTCTTGGTCTATTTTTGGTCCGATGTAGAAAATGTAAATGGTTTATTCACCTACAAGTCGGATGTAGGTGAAATAACTTAACATATAACTTTGGTATAATAAACAGAAGTTTGGTCCATTGTAGAAAAAAATGTAATGTTCACCTGGAAGGTCGGTGTAGGTGAACATACATGTAACTTTGAAGTTTCCAACATGTTTCTAATTGTATCGATTTGGAAGTTCTCGAACTATTTTTGGTCCAAGTAGATAACAAGTACATGCGTAAATGCATTTCACCTGGAAGATTATAACTTCGTCTTTTCCTTTCGCAGTTTGTAAGGCATCTTTTCCCATGCATCGAAATGTTTGGATAAAAATTCAGCGATAGGCTTGCCAAATTTTTTTCCTACTCAAATACTCGGTTGGCTTCTGCCGTTGCAACCATTGTATGTAACGTTTGTTGAGGTGTTGATCACCGCTGCACGTGCACTATCTAGTGAAAACGGCATCAAGAACTATGCATGCTAACTCTTGATTCCCGCCTATACATATTATACCCATTTAATTCAATATTGATTATATTTTGGTCATTGAAACTTAATTAAATGCAAAGAAGAGTTCATTAGTAATTGATTAATAATTGTAAAAGCAGTGTCAAAAAGTTAATTGTTCTTTTTTACAACTGTTTTCATAAGGGAGGGGGGTTAGAAAATTTTATACATTGAAACCAGGCTCTGTAGCATCACCGGATTTTCAAATATGCATGGGAATGGACAAATGACCCTTAAATCTTTCACTGTGTTTAACTTGTGTAAAATTCAACGTATAAAATTGATGAAGTGCATATTTTGTAAATTTGTAATCTCATAGGGACAGCCTTTCCCTATGGATGTAACGACAATGTCGATAGTGTTGGAAATCTTTCCAGTCCACAGTGTAACAATGTAAATGTGATGGGACTTTTTAACCATACACAGAGACGTAAGCGTAGTCATGGGCATCGGTCTTACAATAAACCTTTAATACACGATGTCTCTTTTGATTCATTACTACCTTACGTAAATCAACAGTTAGGTCTACATCATATTCGCACCAAACTTTACTCTGTCCCTTTGAAACTTTTAAATAGTCTTCTTGAAAAGGTCAAGGAAAGTGCATTTTTTTATTCCTCGACGCCAGAATATAGGCTCGGATCTGTAATTATGGATATTGCCAATCATAGGCTTTTTAAGCCCCCGCGTTTTACTGAAGAAAATGCAGCTAAAACAATCCTTTTTTTCCTCAAACTTCAATATGCCAACAAAGGAATTGACGCGGTTAATATAAGTAATATTCTTAATCACAAAAGGGTCCAGTCTTGTATTCCACCATATTTCAAGTTAAAGACTCCACCTTGTATTTCCTACAAATATACATCGACTATTGCTTCCAAACTTTTTAATTAAAAGAAAACTTTACAGGGCCTGGATATCGAATATCTGAAGCATAATCCTCCATCGTGTTCATGTTCCTATAACTATAGTCCTGCTGGACACGTTATTACTGGTGACGTAAATATAGTTAATAATGAGGACCTTAGATCACTAATTTTAAAAGGTCCTAAATTTAGGGAACCCAGATCCTTCAACTGGCGTCGGAATTTCATAAATATTATGGATTCTGTAGAGGACTACGCCAGGCGATGGACCAGACATGAAAAAGAAGACCTTGACACTTTGTCAGAATGGATTAAATGTATCAGATGTATGTTAAAATCGCGCATAAAAAGATTGAGAGGCAATATGAAAACCATCTATCCTTCTGTATTCAATAATCCAGAAGTGAAAAAAGAATTAGATAGATTACATGATCAGTACGTACTGGTCCTTGCTGACAAAGCAGGTAACAACATTGTCTTTGTTTGTAAGGCTCATTTTATTAAATGTATTTTGGAGGAACTTGGATTTAATTCTACAAGTGGTAATCCAACTTATACTCATAGTTCCCTTTCTAAGGATGAAATTCTTCAAAATCATATGTCAGTTTTGAATATTTTTAATATTCCAAACAACCAAAATGAATTTGAATTACCATATTTATATTTGATTCCGAAACTTCATAAAAATCCTTACAAACAAAGATACATAGCGGGTTCCAGTAAATGTTCAACTAAGCCTCTATGTTTACTCCTCACTAAGATATCAACAGTGGTGAAGGAGAAACTTCAAGAGTACTGTGCAACAATATATTCGAGAAGTGGTGTAAATCAGATGTGGATACTTAAAAATTCCAAGGAACTTTTGGAAAATTTGAAATCACAAGATTTTACCAAAATCAACAGCTTAAAAACTTACGACTTTTCAACTTTGTACACAACCATTCCCCACGATAAATTAAAGTCCAGGTTTTTTGATATCATTGACAGCTGCTTTTTCAATAAAAATGGAACTCGTAAATATACTTACCTTGTCATTGGTCATTTGCAAAATTATTTTGTTAAAAAACATTCTGATTGTTCACAGAAGTACTCTGAAGTTGACATTAAAAAGATGCTTGAGTTTCTGATTGACAATATCTATGTAGTTTTCGGAGACCAGGTCTTCCAACAATCTATTGGAATTCCCATGGGTACCAATTGCGCCCCGTTATTAGCAGACCTTTTTTTGTATTCATATGAAGCAGAATTTGTCCAAAATCTTGTACGTGAAAAGAAGAAAACACTTGTTGTGGCCTTCAACTCGACATTTAGATATATCGACGACGTATTGTCAATTAACAATGGTTATTTACATTCTTATGTCGATACGATATATCCTTGTGAACTTGAGATAAAAGATACCACAGAGTCTGACACATCTGTTTCATATTTGGATATTTTACTTGAAAAAGACGTTAATGGTAATCTAACAACCAAGCTTTATGATAAACGTGATGACTTTAACTTTTCAATCTTCAACTTCCCTTACTTATGCAGCAATATACCTTCATCACCTGCATACGGGGTTTATATCTCTCAGTTGATTCGATACGCAAGAGCATGCTCTACGTATGTACAATTTCTAAAACGAGGTAAATTACTGACAAATAAGTTGATGAAACAAGAATATCAGTTGTCTCGTTTAAAGTCATCATTTCGTAAGTTCTATGGTCGATACAATGACCTTGTCAGCAAATACAATTTATCATTGAGTCAAATGCTGATTGACGTTTTTCACACTAATTGTTAGGCCATTATTTACACACTGAATTGTCGACGGATTTTCCCGTTATTTCCCGATCATGACAAGGAGCACACGGCGAGTGTGACCGGTTGGCAGGGGATGCTCACTCCTCCATGGCACCTGATCCCACCTCTGATGTTTGGAGGTCCGTGTTTGCTCTGCTCCTATTTGTATTGATTAATGGACTTTTGAGCTTGAATACTATTCGTTATCTCCATATATTTCATTGAAATTGGTAATAACCATTTTTTCTGTTTTTTGTTTGAAAACATATGCCGCCCCCCCCCCCCCCCAAGTTGAAACAAAAAAAGACTTGTTTTGAATTTGTGGAATTCATATTCCACCTGTGAATATGATTTTTTTTTTGGAATTTTTGTTTCACGGGGGGGGGGGTGTTAAAATTTTTTTTCGTTTATTTCAATAGTGAAAAACCTCAGTTTTACCAAAATTATAGAATTGTCTCCTTGTTTTCCCAAATAAGTTATTTTTTATGAAAATTCACAAAAATATCTATATAAATATGAAAAAATCATTCAAATATGTTTAACTTTGAAAACTGACTTGAACAATACTATCGTTCGAAGTTCTTTAGTAAATACGTAGTGTTATGAACCGTTTGTGTTTGCATAGATTTTATAGGGACTTTAAATAGACTATATAATAAATATATTATTTTTGTGCCAAGTACCATAGCATCAAAATGAAAAAAAGAGGAGAAAAGCTTACTCATCCGATAAAAAAGTTGAGAATGCAGAATTGTATGTGATGAGGCGCCTCGACACACAAAGGGTAGCGAGATATTTTGTTTATATGAAATAAGGATCTGCACACCCTTGTAGTCATTACTACAGATTAGTGGCGGGGAAAGAAAGCAAGAATAATACAAACAAACCAGAGAAACAATCTCTCAGATAAAAATGAATTCCATCTGAATTTAGATGAAATAAAACTTAACAGAAAAAAAATCTTTTCGCGTAGAAATCGGGGAACGAGAATAAATACTTTATCATTTAATGAACAGTATTGTCTCATTTTTGATAGAAGAATTAAGACATAAGGGACTTACCTTTTGTGACTGGGGGTGCGATGCCCTGAGAGGTGCTAGCATAATCTGGACAACAGTCATTAGATGCTCTGTTACAGAACACGTCACAATAGCAAAGACTCCCGAGAATCTCCACCGTACAGTTGTCGTCTCTCCCGGAACAACACGGAGACGATTGCCGTGAAGAGCAAAATGATCCAGGGGCGAGGTCTGCCCCCCATTCTATGAACCTTCTGTACCTACCCCCCTTACTAAACGGAAGCACCAACAGAAACAGGAGCGGGAATTTCAGCTTCCTCATTCTGACGCTAGTTCCCGGGCGAGTTTCCCGCCAAAGTGTGATGTAAGTTAAGTATCTTTGTTTTTATCTGCCCTCCAATTCATTAGCTCTCGGCTTTTGTTAGATTTACATTTGATACTTTGGTGGGAATTCATTCAGTCCACAAAGCAAGCAATAAACCTAAGTATTTTATCTCGGGAACAAACAGACATAAGGATAAGGCGGTCGTTAATGTCATTCATAGGTCATTTTACACCTTTACAATTTTTGTGGCAGCGTCTGATAGACTTCACATTACCAGTACCAAGTATATTTAAAAGTTTTCAATTTCCTATCTTATACTTACTCAGATTAAATTACCAGCGGCTGACAATCTTTAAGACATACAAATTATAAGTAATATGCAGATCTTCCGATAGGAAACAGTTATACAAATACAAACAAATCTTCTGGAATCAGTTATGCTGAACGTGTCAATTTCTACAATCCCATGTTCTGAAATATTTCATATTAATACTAAATATTTTAGTTAAAATCTGAAATTAGATGACATTTGTTCGAACCAGTGACTTTAATATTAGTTAATCGCCTAATTCTTTATATCAAGATATTAATTTTGAAAACCTTGAGCTCAACATTCTACTCAAAAGTGCTGCTTACTTTTAATGTTTACTGTAAATAATTAATTCTGCATTAAGGATCTGAAAAGATTCAAAGGTATATTTCCAACCATTGGACAAAGCAGAACATTCTTTAAAAAATTGCAGTGAGTTACAAACATTTGTCCTTTCTGTGGTGTGAGATCTTTAAAATACGTATACTTCTGTATGGAATTTCTTGATTTAACATGAAAATAAAGTTGTTTAATTGTAATTTTGATATACTGTTTACGAAAACTGGTTTGTTTGTTTTTTTTTTTTTTTTTTTGTATGACTTGACTTGTAATGCATGATTACAATTAAGTGAGGAAATCTGGTAATACAAGGAGAAGGTATGTTTGTTTGTTGTTTTAAAACGTCGCTCTCGGAAATTTTTCGCTCATATGGAGATGCCGCCACTTGCCGGCCGAGGGCTGCAACTTTAGATCTATACTCGGCACTCAGGGTCATTGAGCAGTGAGGGAACTTTTTCGTGCCAGCACTTACCGCGACAGGGAACCTTGGTTTATACATGTACGGTCTCATCCGAAGGACCGATCTCCACGTCCCGCAGTGGGATTCGAACCCGCGATGTAAGGGTCAATTCCTTACACTGCAACTTTTGAGCAAACGTAAATATCTGCTGTCGACCTGTCACATCAATAAATATTCTGATCATAGCGTCACCCAGTATTAATAAAACTTTGGATGAAATATGGAGATAACGAACAGTATTCAAGCTCAAAGTCCATTAAAAGAATACAAATCGGAAGCAGAGCAAACACGGACCTCCAGAAACATCAGAAGTGGGATCAGGTGCCATGGAGGAGTGAGCATCCCCTGCAGACCAGTCACACCTGCCGTGTGCTCCTTGTCATGATCGGGAAAAAACGGAAAATCCGTCGAAAATTCAGTGTGTAAATAATGGCCTAACAATTAGTATGAAAAACGACAGTCAGCATATGACTTAATGATAGATTGTATTTGCTGACAAGGTCATTGTATCGACCATAGAACTTACGAAATGATAGCTTTAAACGAGACTGTTGATATTCTTGTCTAATCAACTTGTTTGTCAACAACTTAACTCGTTTTAGAAATTGTTCATACGTGGAGCATGCTCATGCGTTTCAAATCAACTGAGATATATACACACCATATATAGGTGATATACTGCATAAGTAAGGGAAAATGACGATTGAAAAGTTAAAGTCAAAGCTTTGTTGTTAGATTACCATTAATGTCTTTTTCTAGTAAAATATCCAAATATGAAACAGATTTGTCAGACTCTGTGGTATCTTTTATTTCAAACTCACTGGGATATATCGTGTCAACATATGAATGAAAATAACTATTGTTAATTGATAATACGTCGTCGATATATCTAAATGTCGAGTTGAAGGCCACAGCAAGAGATTTCTTTTTCTCATGTATAAGATTTTGAATAAATTCTGCTTCATATGAATACAAAAATAGGTCTGCTAACAACGGGGTGCAATTGGTACCAATTGGAATTCCAACAGATTGTTTGAAGACCTGGTCTCCAAAAAACAAATAGATATTGTCAATCAGAAATTCAAGCATCTTTTTAATTTCAACTTCAGAGTACTTGTGTGTACAATCAGAATGTTTTCTAACAAAATAATTTTGCAAATGACCAATGGCAAAGTAAGTAAATTTTCGAGTTCTATTTTTATTGAAAAAAAAAACAGCTGTCAATGATGTCAAAAAGCCTGGACTTTAATTTTTCGTGAGGAATGGTTGTATACAAAGTTGAAAAGTCGTAAGTTTTTATGTAATTGATTTCGTTAAAATACTGTGATTTCAAATTTTCCAAAAGTTCCTTGGAGTTTTTAAGTATCCACATCTGATTTACACCGCTTCTCGAATATATTGTTGCACAATACCCCTGAAGTTTCTCCTTCACTGCTGTTAATATTTTAGTGAGGAGTAAAGAAAGAGGCTTGGTAAAACATTTACTGGAACCCGCTATGTATCTTTGTAAGGATTTTTATGAAGTTTCGGAGTATAAACATGGTAATTCAAATTCATTTTGGTTGTTGAGAATATTTAAAATATTCAAAACTGACATATGACTTTGAAGAATTTCCTCCTCAGAAAAGGAGCTATGGGTATAAGTTGGAATGCCATTTGTAGAATTAATTCCCAGCTCTAAAATACAATTAAAATAATGAGCCTTACAAACAAAGACAATGTTGTTACCTGCTTTGTCAGCTGGGACCAGTACATACTGATCGTGTAATCTATCTAATTCTTTTTTAACTTCTGAATTATTGAACACAGAAGGATAGATGGTTTTCATATTGCCCCTCAATCGCTTAATGCGAGATTTTAACACACATTTGATACATTTAATCCACTTTGACAAAGTGTCAGGTCTTCTTTTAATGTCTGGCCCATCACCTGGCGTAATCTTCCACAGAATTCATAATATTTATGAAATTATGATTTCAGTTAAAAGATCAGGGTTCCCTAAATTTTGGCTCTTTTAAAATAAGTGATTTAAGGTCCTCATTATTAACTATATTTACGTCACCAGTAATAACGTGTCCAGCAGGACTATAGTTGTAGGTTGAAGAAATACATGAACACGATGGAGGATTATGTTTCAGATGCTCAATATCCAGGCCCTGTAAAGTTTTCCAGTAATTAAAAAGTTTGGGAGCAATAGTCGATGTATATTTATAGGAAATACAGGGTGTAGTCTTTAATTGGAAATATGGTGGAATACAAGACTGGACCCTTTTGTGATTACGAATATTAATTATATTAACCGCGTCAATTCCTTTGTTGGCATATTGAAGTTTAAGGGAAAAAACGGATAGTTTTAGCTGTATTTTCTTCCGTAAAACGTGTCGGTTTAAAAAGCCTTTGATTTGCAATATCTATAACCACAGATCCGAGCCTGTATTCTGGTGTCGAGGAATCCAAAAATGGACTTTCCTTGACTTTTACAAATAGACTATTCAAAAGTTTGATAGGTTTGTGCGAATGTTATGAAGGCCTAATTGTTTATTTACATAAGGTAGTAGTGAATCAAAGGAGACACCGTGTAGAATAGCTTTATTGTAAGACCAACGTTCATGACTACGCTTGCGTCTCTTTGTACTGGTAAAAAGTCCCGTCACATTCACATTGCTACACTGTGGGCTTGAAAGATTCCCAACACTATCGACATTGTCATTGCTACCATATGGAAAGGCTGTGTCTAGTTTTCTAATTCAGTATTCTTCTCGTTTTTTACAGAAAGGTGTACTCAGTGATGGGTTTTAAGTATGATGGTAAATCTTTTCTAGAATTCGAACTTTCATTGACAAAATAGAATGATCAGATAAATTAAAATACTTGTATTGAAGCTGTAAAAGCTGCCGTTGTTAATCTGAAATCTATATCCCGATATTCTTTTATTACGTGAACCCTTGGTTTCATCAACATAAATAAGCCCACAAAAGGCACATTCTATTCCGTAGACAACATTTTCAATTCAGATTTTCCTAAGTTTTGGTATAGAAGCTCTCTCCAGTAAGATTACTAGAAAACGAAGATCTAGTAATCAAAATGTCACGACTCCATATTAAATTGATACACAAAATTTTAGCTTGCAATATTTTCCTTCATATGCATGAGCACTGTTTTCAATAAAATACAAATACGTACTGATGAAAAGGGTAGAAAAGTTTTAGTCTTTTTAAAAGTTCATAACAAATTTGTAATTAACAATGTAGCACGTATTTTAGTTCTTATTGGTCGTAATGAAAGGTTTTTAGAGCTTCGCAGTTTATAAAGCGTTAACTGTTCAAACCCAATTTATACCATATAAATTGGGGAGGTATTAAATTCATTCCTTAAATAACATTCACGACGCATTTTCAAAGCTTACAATGCCGAATACAATGCAGAATATTTGGATTTTTGAAAAACAATCAGTTACAAATATAGAACTAGACCTTGAACCTGAAAAAAGAACTAGTGTTATGAATATGTTGACACAATTGTGGATAATTATACATATATTTGCAATATACAATTGCACTCTTTTAATCCAGAAAATGCTCATTGTACATGGACATGTCATGCCTTTAATGGTGGTGTGATCTTTTCGGATTTTCTGTTCTTTATTTTGTATGGTACAAGCATAATTATTTAAAATTAATACTTTCTAATTTGCATCAATTACTGTCAAGTCAATTCACAGATGTTTCGGGCGTTTAAATAAAGTGCATTTTTAAGCCATTAATTTGCCCACAGACATTTTTTGTTGTTGTTATTTTTTTTTTTAACTTAAAAAAAAAAACAAAAAAGTAAAACAAAGAAGTAAGAAAACACGAAACAAAAAATAAGAACCCTCTAACAGAGCACTCT